TTATTATTATTATTATTATTATTATTATTATTATTATTATTATTATTATTATTATTATTATTATTATTATTATTACCTTGGAGATCTTCTAATCCAACCCCCTGCTCAGGCAGGAAACCCTACACCATTTCAGACAAAAGGTTGTTCAGTCTCTTCTTAAAAACTTCCAATGTTGGAGCTTTCACCGCTTCTGGAGGCAGGTTGTTCCACTGGTTAATTGTTCTAACTGTCAGGAAGTTTCTGACAGTTAGGGGGTTTCTTGACTGGTTTTTGTTTGTATGTTTATCCTTTGCTTTTAACAGTCCACGTTTTTTAAGTAAATCCAATTTCCTCAAATGCCCTCAAAATGTAAAAGAAAAAAAAAAGTTTGCGTGCTTTATATAGTTTTTTTTTAAAAAAAATTCCATACATTTAAGATTTTAAAGGTGCTGGGATATTTGGCCACATCACAGGGACATAAGCAGTTGAAAGCATTTGAGATGCGGATGGAAGCCAGGGCGGATCACTTTAAGTACCTAGCTGAGAGTTTTGCATTTAATAATTAATTATACTCTGTTTCCCAGTTGTGCCAGTTTTCACTTTGAGTATATACAGGATAGCATTTATATTATTAATATAAAATATACAGCATCCTTACTTAATATCAAGGCCATCACACTTCTTGCAGCCTGGAAAAGTGTTTATGTCCATCAAGATCAAATTGATAGCTTAGGGCAGGGGTCTTCAAACTTGGCCGCTTTAAGACTTGTGGACTTCAATTCCCAGAATTGCCGGCTGAGGAATTCTGGGAGTTGAAGTCCACAAGTCTTAAAGCGGCCAAGTTTGGAGACCCCCTGGCTTAGGGTCTCAGAATCAAGTCAGCATTTCTGATGAAATCAACTTTCTGATGAAATCAGTTTTAGATAGAGGTTTTTGTAATTTGATTTTTTTTTAGAATTTAATGTTGAAATATTGTAACAATCGTGTACATTACCTCATACAAATTTTACTCCCAATTATGGCTTGATTTTGATTTACCTTCTTAGGGTCTCTTTGAAGCTTGTCATTTCAATTTTGAGGTCAGGATTATTTTTATAGACAGGTAATCCTCGACTTAACAACCATTTGTTTAGCGGCCGTTCAAAATTATGACAGAGGTGACTCAGGACCAATCCTTATGCTTTTGACTATCACAGCATCCCCACAATCACGTGATCCAAATTTGGGCAACCTAACATGTATTTACACTGGTTGTAGCACCCCAGGTCACTTGATTGTATTTGCAGCCTTTCCAAGGGGCTTCCAACAAGTAAAGTTGATGGGGGAAGCTGGATTCATTTAATGACTGTAGCAAAGAAGGACATAAAATCAGGTACGGTTTGCTTAACAACCGACTCACTTAGTGACGGAAGTTCCAGTTCAAATTGTGGTTGTAAGTCGAGAACTACCCATGTTTTGCTTGTTAAACATTTTTCTAAGGCTGCCGAATGTGACTTTGGGTAGGGTGCAACCCTAATAGGAGAATTATACTACAGGTCTGCTAGTAGTAACTGGCTCTGGTATACTTTTTCTTCTGTGTTTACTTTTTGTCGTAGTTTCCTGGTGGGCTGGAATCCTTCCTGATGGCTTTATTCTTCCGATCCTCTTTTTCTAGATCCCTATCTCAGAGCCCATTTGTGACATCATCACAGCTTAACAAAAAAAACTGTCACAAGCCACTTTATCCTCATCCTCATCCCCCTCCATTTACATTTAATGCATCTTCGAATGCAGCGGTTCTCTGTTCTTAGTATTCTTTATTTTATATTAATTGCATTGAATGTGAAAAATAATTATTCAGTGACCTCTAGAATCTCAGTAGGGGAAAAAAAAAGAGCTTCGTTCAGATTTTAGCTTGGAAAATTGCAATGCTCTATAGGATTGTGTTGTCACAGGCAGGTTTTTATATTTTAAACTTTATTGAAAAAGGTCAAAAACCACGTTTTTGAAATGACGACTACAGATCAGACAGCAGTTAGGCCACGGATGTCAAACTCGCGACGTCACGTGACGTGTCGCGACGTGTCATGACTTTTTTCCCATTGCCGGCAATGGGGTGGATGCAGTTTTAGTGTGATGTTTTACACCCCTGAGTTAGGCTGTAGGCATATTTTGAAGGAGAAGCAGCTGAAGAAAGTGCATGTTATTTTAAGTCAAGTTTTACAAAGTACCGTTCTCCCTGCCCCCCCCCTTCTGCTAAATTATTTCATGACTCCAGCTTTATTTAATTATATTAAACTGCTTCTTGGTGAATGTACCTTTTTGCAGGCACCGGGAACCCCTATCATTGCTCGGCAGGTAGCACCAACCACTATAATCAAACAAGTGTCTCAGGCACAGACAACTGTACAACCTACAACAACGTTACAGAGGCCACCTGTAGTCCAGGTAAGTGGTTTCATTTTTGTTTTTAAAGCCAGCTGATATTCCTTCCGCTACTATCATAATAATATTATAAATATTCCTACTACTTTATCCTATTGGTTTCTTGTGATTTATCAATTGTTGTTTGTAACTTATGATTAATGATTGTAACTATGATTATGACCTCTGACCTACTTGCTCTTTATATGCACACTGTGAGTTTGTGCACCTGAGACAAATTCCTTGTGTGTCCAATCACACTTGGCCAATAAAGAATTTCTATTCTATTCTATTCTATTCTATTCTATTCTATTCTATTCTATTCTATTCTATTCTATTCTATTCTATTCCATTCCATTCCATTCCATTCCATTCCATTCCATTCTACACCAGGGGTGGGGAGCCTTGGCTCTTTTATAACTCGTGGACTTCAACTCCCAGAATTCCTGAGCTAGCCATGCTGGCTCAGGAATTCTGGGAGCTGAAGTCCACGAGTCATAAAAGAGCCAAGGTTGCCTACCCCTGGACTATGACGTACTTTAAAAGTATGAAACTACAGTCCCTAAGTAGTCCTTGGTCTACAAGCACAATTGGGAACAGAAGTTCCATTGCTAAGCATGGGGTTTTTTTTAAGTGAGTCGCACCTGATTTCATGACCTTTTTTTCCACGGTTGCTAAGCGAATCACTGCAGCTGTTCCATTTCATTCTTTACACTCTACACCAGGGGTAGGGAGCCTTGGCTCTTTTATGACTTTGTGGACTTCAACTCCCAGAATTCCTGAGCCAGCATGGCTCAGCATGGAAACCTCTCCCTTTCCCCTCAGCATGGCTGGCTCAGGAATTCTGGGAGTTGAAGTCCACGAGTCATAAAAGAGCCGAGGTTGCCTACCCCTGGTCTATACCCCACACTCTACCCTACTGAAGGGAACAATTAGCCAAGTGGTGTGATGCAGTTAAAGTAGTGGTCATCTTTCTGAAAACAGCAAACGAAGATGAGAAAACCAGCACATGCTCCTCACCCCTTCATTATTATTCATTACTGCCTACAAACAATATGAGTTATAGTAGGCTTCTGTAGCTCAAAGGGGCTTTTCCAAAAGGCAGCTGGACTGTGTTTTCCTTGAGGAGGAGGAAGAAGATGACGTTTCGCTTCTCATCCAAGAGGCGTCATCAGTTGTGACTGGAGATGGGAGGGTGGAAGGACAGGTCATCACCCCAACTGTTGAAGCTTCATGGAGAGAAGCGGAATGTCTTCTCCTTCTTCCTCAAGGAAAAAAAAACCAGTCCAATTGCCCTTTGAAAGAGCACCTTTGAGACAACCATGACCTGGATGACTGAGAATATCCACAGACAGGCTTCCGTGTTTGCTAAGAATCCTTGCTGAGATTAGTGGACATTCTCCCAAATAGATGGGTGAGCCCTATTGTACAAAATGGGTTTGCTATTAAGTCATATGCAAAGGATTGCAGTTGACTTCTTGAAATAGCAGTGGATCCCGAACAAGGAGATTGATTGGGAACTTTGTAAGGCTCTTTGATCAATAAAAGTCCTAAGCTTCTCTGAAGATTGGGAAGCTGAACAGGATTGTTTGGGCACTTTATTAAAGTGTAATCTCAGATTTGTAAGATTATCTTCTTATAGCTGGAATTCACAGACATTACAAGTAATATTCCAGAAACCCCTCTTAGATATTTGCTTTTAATTACTGTAAATCACTAAGACTTTGTAATTTAGATAGCATAAGTTCCAATGTTTGGACATTGTTCACAGTAGATAAAATTCAGTCCCAAAATATTCCCGATAGATTGCAAGCTTGAAAACCTTTGGGAAAAACAACAAACTTGGATTGGTCCGCGTCAGATTAATGCAGGCATTATTGTGACTGCATGGTTATCGCCTACTTATATTTATCCATCCTCTGTTTCAGTCTGTCTTAGCAGATGACTCCCTTTTTATATTTCATTTCATGTATCTAATAATAGTAGTAGTAGTAGTAGTAGTAGTAGTAGTAGTAGTAGTAGTAGTAGTAGTAGTAAAGTTGGAAGGGACTTTGGAGGTCATCTAGTCCAACCCCCTGCTCAGGCAGGAAACCCTATACCATTTCGGACAAATGGCTGTCCAGTCTCTTCTTAAAAACTTCCAGTGTTGGAGCATTCACCGCTTCTGGAGGCAGGTTGTTCCACTGGTTAATTGTTCTAACTGTCAGGAAGTTTCTCCTTAGTTCTAGGTTGCTTCTCTCCTTGGTTAGTTTCCATCCGTTGCTTCTTGTCCTTCAGGCGCCTTGGAGAATAGCTTGACTCCCTCTTCTTTGTGGCAGCCCCTGAGATATTGGAAGACTGCTATCATGTCCCCCCTCGTCCTTCTCTTCATTAAACTACACATACCCAATTCCAGCAGCCATTCCTAATGTTGCAAATGGTTTAGATTAATGCTTGTAAATTAGTTATTTCCTGACATTTGGACTTTTGATAGTTGTCAGGCAGTAAACCCATTGAAGAGGCTTTTCTCAAAGGAAGCTACATGCCTGAAAATATGTTTGAGCTGTTCCTTTAAATAATACCTTTTAAACTACCCAATACATTGTTGTGCCTCCCTTCATAAATTGTGGTTTTAGGCTACTGTCGGGACATGTCAGCAAACATTCCCACCTATCATCCACCTTCCCCGTCCATGATGAATGTCTTATGTGTGTTTGTTTGCCCAGCAGACCCATAATTGGGGGCAGTTCTTAAGAAGCAAAAGCGAAACAAGTTTATTGGCTCTTATCGGTCAGCTGTGAGCAATTGCTTACAGTTCTGTGTGCAAATTCTACCACCTTCTGCTATTTTAAGCAGTGCTTTTTAAAATCCACTTCCAGGGTTTTCAGTTGAATGCATGGGAGTTTGTGCCATCTGGTGGCCCTTCTTTTAAGCAGCATTAAACAGCAGCAAAGCGGTATCTATTTTGGGAGATCTACTACGGAAGACCATCTGATTGTAATGAATTCTCTCTTTATTTCTCTTCCTTCCTCTTCTCCCTCCCCACCTCCAATCTGATATCTTTTATGTTGCAGCCTCAGATTGTTCTGGGCAGCCCTGCACAAACAACAGCATTAGGAACAGCAACGGCTGTGCAGACTGGAACCCCTCAAAGGACGGTGCAAGGAGCCACAGCAACCTCCACAGCAGCCACAGTAAGACGCTGATAGCGGTTTTGCCGCTAGTCAAAAGGCGGATCTTGTTAGCTTGTCAAGAACAGAATCTCTCGTCAAATAAACGTTCAGTGTGGAACATGAGATTGTTAGTAGAGTCCTATAGAACGGATCCCCAACCCCCAGTCCGTGGACCAGTATTGGGCTGCGGCATGCCAGCAACCGGGTCACACAAACAAGCAAAGCCCCATCCACAAGATGCAGGCAGCACACAAAGCCACGCCCCCTCCGGTCCGTGGAAAAACCTCTCTCTATAGAATCGGTCCCTGGTGCCCAGAAGGTTGGAGACCTCTGGTATAGACTATGACGGGGGTAGGCAACCTTGGCCCTTTTATGACTCGTGGACTTCAACTCCCAGAATTCCTGAGCCAGCCATGCTGAGGGGAAAGGGAGAGGTTTCCAAGCTGAGCCATGGCTGGCTCAGGAATTCTGGGAGTTGAAGTCCACGAGTCATAAAAGAGCCAAGGTTGCCTACCCCTGGACTATGACGTAGTTTAAAAGTATGAAACTACAGTCCCTAAGTAAGTCCTTGGTGTACAAGCACAATTTTTCCCACGGTTGCTAAGCGAATCACAGCAGCTGTTAAGTGAGTCACATAGTCATTAAGCAAATCCCGCTTCCACCATTGCCTGTGCTTGTTGGAAATTGGCTGCCAATAGCAATCATATGACATTACAATTATTGTAAATACATGCTGGTTGCTAAGCGCCCGAATGTTGATCACTGGCCCTGGGGATGCTGCAGTAGTTGTAAGCTTGAGGGACCAAGTTATCAGTCATTATTCAGTGCTGCTGCAACTTTGAAGGGTCACTGAACAAAGAGTTGTAAGTCGAGGAATTAACTATATGTTGTGATGTTATAAATGTCAATGGGAGCGAAGATAAGTGTGACCTGGGTGCTGTGAGAGCAAAAATCTTGGCGAATGCAGCAAAATTTCAATTTCATTTTAATGTATGCTGATTAGTGTACATTTAAAAGTGACAATAAAGTTATTCTATAAGCACAATCTATATTTTATCATTTTATAAAAAATTATATATTGTCTATTTAAATTCTTGTGGGGTTTTTGTTTTGTTTACTATTAAATTTACTCATTTCAGACCCTTACAAATGGTATGAGGGTCAAAGAGCTGCACGCAGCTATACCCATTTCCTTAAGTTGATTATCCAGTCGCCCTTTTAGATCTCAGAGCCTGTTTTTTTTTCTCCCTATCTTGACATTTTAAAAGCTAACCTGTTTATCTTATTTGCTTTTAATAGGAAACCATGGAAAATGTGAAGAAATGCAAGAATTTTCTCTCTACGCTAATAAAACTGGCCTCTTCTGGAAAGCAGTCGACAGAGACTGCAGCTAATGTGAAAGAGCTAGTCCAGAACTTGCTGGTAAGAGAATGATAGGATCTGTTCAAATAATTATTACAACCACGGATGGCTTAGATCATGTGATTTTAAGCAATGTTGTGGATACAATAACATTTTTTAAAAATTAAAACGCAATATTGTTTAAAGATTACCCCCTTAACCATAACTTTAAACCTTGTACAGTTTCTTGGAAGAGCCAAATCTTGACAGTTTTATGGATTACTTTGTGAGATTTGCCTAGGTCAGAGGTAGGCAACCTTGGCTCTTTTATGACTCGTGGACTTCAACTCCCAGAATTCCTGAACCAGCATGGCTCAGCTTGGAAACCTCTCCCTTTTTTCCCTCATCATGGCTGGCTCAGGAATTCTGGGAGTTGGAGTCCACATGTCAAATTTCTGTTCTCCGAACTTCTAGACCAGGGATAGGCAACCTTGGCTCTTTTATGACTCGTGGACTTCAACTCCCAGAATTCCTGAGCCAGCATGGCTCAGCTTGGAAACCTCTCCCTTTTCCCTCAGCATGGCTGGCTCAGGAATTCTGGGAGTTGAAGTCCACAAGTCATAAAAGATCTGAGGTTGCCTACCCCTGGCCTAGGTTATGCTGCTGATCTGTGGATTAAAAAAGAACTGTGGCGGGTCTCTCTTCCCTTCTCTCCAACGTTTGACTTATCTAGTTAGTCCCTTTCTCATTTCAGTAAAATCCGTAAGGTGTCACCCTTAAGCAAAGGTAGATATTTAATTGAATTAGTAAAAGGCTCCTTAATTTAATTAACGAAAGAAAGTTGTATAATGTTGCTGTGAATTATCACAGTTACGGTATCTTTATTTGTGAGCTTAAACATAGGAAGATTTAGTATTGTAATTTATTTCTTGTAAAGTATGAGTTTGAACTGAGCAGGGGGTTGGACTAGATGGCCTCCAAGGTCCCTTCCAACTTTTTATTATTATTATTATTATTATTATTATTATTATTATTATTATTATTATTATTATTATTATTATTATTATTATTATTATTATTATTATTACTGTGTTTCACAGGATGGAAAGATTGAAGCAGAAGATTTCACCAGTCGGTTATACCGGGAACTTAATTCTTCACCTCAACCATACCTTGTGCCTTTCTTGAAGGTAATAATATATCTTTTCATTAGTTTTGTATTTCCTGCAACAATGAACTTGGTTCTTCTTAGGAAAGATGCTGCAAACAAAGGCACTGGAAAAGAGCTAACAAAAATGCTGAATAATTATTCCTCTGTTCCTTGACAAGATTGTAGAGGACTCATAGGAAGATTTGGTGATACAGAAAAACTCATGACTGAGTTCAGAAATAGTAGTAAGCAGAATATTAAACTAATATTGCTGACTGTTTGGAAGTGTCTTATGCTGAATAAAGTAACAAGCCTATAATGTAATCGGCATAGTGGTTATTGTATACACAATGAGTGTACATATACTTCATTTTTTTTTAAAGGGTATGTATGTGTGAGAGTGGGTACAGGTGTCTAAGAGCTAAAGTTCTAAAACTGTATAACGCAGAGGTGTCTAACCTTAGAAACTTTTAAGACTTCAACTCCCAGAATTCTCCAGCCGACTATGCTGGCTGGGGAATTCTGGGAGTTGAAGTCCCCAAGTCTTAAAGTTGCCAAGGTTGGACACCCCTGGTATAATGTATACTATACAAGTTCGATATAATTAAGGGCAATGTGGTTTGATATAAACTTAGGGCATTGATAGGTCAATTTTGTGAATTGTTTGTAGAGCAATGTGCTAATGGCTCTAATTACAATGCAATATATGTTAGCATATTTGTTTGAATCCCTCAAACGTTGTAATAAAATCTATAGTATTTCCAGGCTGTCTTAAGAGATTCACATGGGAACACCAATGCTTATGTCCAGAAACCATTCTTTGTCAGAAGTTGGAGAATCTTCAGCACTTCTGTCTGTGTACGCTATAGAATCTCTCCAATCCAGCTCACCCTTTCAAGGATGGCTTTTCTTTTAGTTTGTGATTGATTCCACACACACACCAGTTTTCATGTTGGGAATATTGAAAAATGTGCAAGTTATAAGCAATCCCGTTAACACCATCAACATACGCTTTCATGGGACCAATAATTTGTGCAAATGTATAATGAAAAAAATGAAATATTTTATGGTGGTAAATGCTTTGCTTATAAATAAAAAGTTTTCCATGCTTAAATAATGATATTAATCTATTCTGCTGCATTGTTTAAATGCTTGTACCTTTCTGGTTAAGGACTTTAGGGTGTGGTTGTGATGAAGTTTCAGCTAGTCTAGAACACAGCGGTGTGGATAGTCATGACTGTGCTTCATTTCACCTTTGTAGCACATTTACTCTGCAAGTTATGTTGGTTCTTTAGTGGATTTCCAGGTGCAATTTAGGGTGTTGGTTATTACCTGCAAAGCCTCTCATAAGCCAGGCTATTTGCAGGACAGTCTGTCTGATTGTCTGCTTGTCCCATGAGGTCTGGCAGGGTGGGCATCTTCTAGGTCCCTTCTGTCAAGCCATGTCACCTAATTGGACCCTGGGGGTTGCCTTCTCTGTTATGGCACCTGCCCAACGGTCCAACATAAGGTTTGGATGGCCCTGATTGTGCCAGCTATTTAAGGCATTAAAGACCTGGTTCTTCTCCTGGGCTTTGGGCCTGAGTATTGGGTGTGTTCCTTTAGTGGCAATTTATTTGTATTTATTGCTCCATGCATGCAATGTCCCTTTTGTTTCAAGTGTTTGTTGTGGTTGTTTTATTGAGTGTTGCTGAATTTGGGCAGCCACATACAACGACTCTATTTAAATAACACTAAATAACACCCGCTGCATGTTTTGAGAAAAGTGAAGAAGAGAGGTTATGATTCTACCTTATATCATTGGGTGTAAATAGTTTGAGCTGTCTCTTGGTCCCAATGTAGGGGAGACTAGCAAAAGACTTACTGTAACTGACAGTGTTGAATAAGTGGATCTTTGAACGGCATAATTGACATGCTGGCTTTCTGAATTGCATTTATCCCCTAATTAATCTTTGTACGGTTTCCTCTCTTTGTCCGGATAATTAGGACTTTGCACTCTGAAACCTATTTGAAGCTTGGTAATGAAATGTGCTTTTGATTGGTAGGTGGGGTTAATGAATATGTGACTCTAGTCTGGTTCTTGCCATAGAAGAAAATTTGGGTCCCCGAGATAGAGCTCACATGATTGAATTTCTTCTCCATAAAAAAAAACAACCCCTTGATATCGGAGATTAATGCTGAAATGAGCTTCCTTTCTATTTTGACTTAGTCTGATCTCTTGAGTCCACACATTGTGGTTCAGAGACCATATTCAGTCAAAAGCAGAGGAAGCTCATTATGGAGGAGAAGGGGTTTTTAAATTTATTGAAGAGAAGAGCGATTGAAAATAATCTAGCTCAGACATGTCAAACACAAGGCCCGGGGGCTGGATGTGGCCTGCGAAGTGGTTTCATGTGGCCCGCGAAGCCATCCTGGAAACAGTGAGGGAACGGCCCCCGCTGCCTTGACCCTGGCCCAGGCCGGGCGGGAGCCAATGTACAATTTTGTGGTGGCCATCTATGCTGAAACGCATTCAGTCTTAGCTCCACGAGGCCGTCCAGAAACAGCGAGGAACCAGCCCCTGCCGTATTGGCTCCACCCCCTGGGTGCATGCTGGGGAGGTGCCACCCTTTGTGAGGAATGAAGAAATGGACCATGCCTTGGCGCTTGCCCTGGTCCCACCCTGTTCTGCCAGAGACCCTCAGATCTGTCCCACTTCTGCCCAGGCCCCCACAGGCACCCTTGACGCGAACGATGTAGAGCTGGCCACGCCCACCCAGTAGGCCACACCCACCCTGGTCACACTCACCCGGCCCCCCCGAGGGCAACCACAATGCTGATGTGGCCCTCAATGAAATTGAGTTTGACACCCGTGATCTAGCTGAAGGCTGAAGGTGCTGCTGCTAAAAAGCACGGGTTGAGGGAGACCATGCCTGTTGAATGTTGGGAATAGGCCAATAGGAAATCAATTACATTTTACGAATGGGATACCTTATTTTCCAGGCAGCTTATGTTAATTAGCAATTATCAGCTCAATCGATAATTGGCTGGTTTTCTTGAGTGCACGGCTTCTGACAGGTGGGTCTCAGGACATTTCTTTAGAGGGGATTCATTGAGTGGATCTGTGGTTGAAAGGGAATTGAAAAATGACATGGGCCGAAACAAGGGACAAATTGCAGTCAGGTGGTGGATTCAATTTAAAAAGAGTTTATTTTATTTAGTCATTCCATTTACATATTCTCTAGAGAAAAATTCTATCGGCAGTCCTCAATTTATGAAGCTTTGTTTGATGACGATTCCAAGTTACGCTGGCCTTGGAAGTGACTTACTACTTGTACTCACACTGTTACATCACCCTCGAGATCACGTGGTAACAGTGTGAGGACTTAGCAACCAGTTTACATTTACGATCGACCGGTTGCGGTGTCCTACAGTCATGTGGGTGATGATTTGCGACCTTGTTTTGCTGATTTCCAGCAAAAAAAAATAATTGTGCTTTCAGGAAGCTGAATTTGCTTAATGGCTGGTGTGATCCTCTTAACACACTGTAAAAAATTGTCATAAAAATTGTAAGTTGAGGACTATTTATTCTGTGAATTATACGGTTCTCTCATCCCCCTCCCCCCAAATAACAGCCTTAAATTAACTTCTGGTACCTGACTAGAAGTAGTCCTCAACTTAAGACCATTCACTTAATGACTTGTTGACGTTACGATGGACTTCAAAAAAGCTATTTAACGATCCGTCCTCAAAGTTACGATTGCCTCCATCCCCCCCCCCCCCCCCGCTGTCATGTGTTCGGATTTCAGGTTCTTGGCAACAGGCTCGCAATAGCCCACAATCAATGGACCACAGTTCATGACTCCCCCCCCATTTTCTTGCAGAAAATGCCCCCCCCCAAAGCCCATTGGCTATGCTGGATTTGCTTCTTAACCACATGATTTGCTTAACCTCAATGATTTGCTTTACAATCCTTGTAAAAATGATTGTAAAATCAAGTCAGGTCCTGGAATGACCGGCTTAACGACTGCAACTACTCAATGACCAAAATTCCAGGCTCAATTCTGGTCATCAGTCAAGGGCTACCTGTATATAGCAAACTTTATATTCCCTGCGTAACAATATATTGCATTAAAAGTGCCATTTACGTAAGCTTTTGTTACTCGAACTACTACACTTTTAGGTACCTCCACTGTCAGTGGAATAAACAATGCAAAAAGGTTTTTTTTTTTCGGGGTGGGTGGGTAGTTTGTGATTTGAAAGGTTCTCTTAACTTGCCAAGAGGTATTACATCTGTTTCTCTTCTGATCTTACAGCGGAGTTTGCCTGCCTTGAGACACCTGACTCCCGACTCGGCCGCTTTCATTCAGCAAAGCCAGCATCAGCAGCCCTTGACGCAGCCCACCACCGCTCTGACCGCTGTGATGTTGAGCAGCTCGGTCCAGCGTACGGCGGGAAAGACCACCGCTGCAGTCACGAGTACCTTGCAGCAGCCGGTCATCAGCCTAACGCAGCCAGCCCAAGTGGGGGTTGGCAAGCAAGGGCAGCCTACGCAGGTGGTGTGTAAACCGAACTGGATTCCTGTCTCTCTTGGTCTCCCAACACCTAAAACCCATTTCCTTCCGAAACCTAACCAGTGACGCATATATAAATACGATTTATGTACAATACGAAAGCAACACATTCCCTTATCCCACATGTTCAGCATCGAATTAGCTGCTACGCATGTTTAATTCCTTTGGCTACATCCCTGTTTAGCCCCCCAACCAGGGAAAACACATCGTCAGCAAAGATACAAACGATTTTGCATTTTAATTTTTTCCGTACCTGACGCATTTTTGCTGAAAAGTCATCTTGGTTGTGTTTTAGACGCTTACCAATAAGGAAAAGCAAGTGGTTCATTCAGTCGTACACCCCTATTGTGCTGTTCTCTCCCTGCTCAACATCATTATGTTGATCTGGGAGGGAGCAGCATAATAGGACCCCTCATCGTTATGTAGAGTGCAGAAAAGGCATAAGTAAAAGCCAGCCAAATAAATGAAACATGTCAAAAAAGAAAAGAATGATTATAGCTGAACACTGTTCGCTGTATTTCTTCACAAGTGTGTGACTTTGCAGATCATTCTTGCTTCTGGATGCTAGTTCATACATTGCCTCTTATTCTTTAAAATCTGTACCATTTTTCATCTTAAAGATTCTATCCAGCAACTGATCTTCCATTCACTCTCCATATATTTCTTTTACAATTTGCTCCATGGTGGCGCGGCGGTTAAGATGTTGGGCTTTTCAGCTGAAAAGCAGGCACCCTAGGTTTGAGACCCGAGCGCCACACAATGGGGTGAGCTCCTGTCCTTGCCCCAGCTGCTGCCAAACTTGCAGTTTGAAAGCATGCAAATGCGAGTAGATAAATAGGTATCACTTCAGAGGGAAGGTAACATCACTCTGTGATGTCATGCTGGCCACCTGACTGTGGAAATGTCTTCAGATAGCGCTGGCGCAATGGCCTTGAAACAGAGAGGAGCACTGTCCACTATAGTGGAGTGAAATCCTCGGGAGACCCCTTTACCTTTTACTTTACCATACTTCAAAATCCTTTAATATTTAATTCTCTAATATGTATCCAATCATTCTCTAATACAGTGTTTCTCAACCTTGACAATTTTAAGGCATGTGGACTTCAACTCCCAGAATTCCACAGCCAGCATTGCTGGCTGTGGAATTCTGGGAGTTGAAGTCCACATGCCTTAAAATTGTCAAGGTTGAGAAACACTGCTCTAATATGTACCTTAGACCCATACCAGCGTTCTGTTAATCACATGAGGAATATCCACATCACTTGTGTATTTTCTTTGCCTTGATTTAAACTGCATTTCTCCAGTTGTCTGCTTTTACTCGAGAATCTAATTTCTTGCTAGAAAAGCCCCCCCCCCAAAAGCCCCCCCTGATAAGTTCCAGGCTTTGTCAGTTGCAGCTTTTTCTCAAGGAAGCTAAAGGGAGGAACAGCAACTGTTGAATCTTTTCAGACGCAAACTTGTTCCTCAGGTAACGTAATAATACCACTGTTGTTTCTCCAAACTTTTTCCAGGTCATCCAGCAGTCTCAAAAACAAGGTACATTAATTAGGCCTCCGCAGGTGACCTTGACCCAGACGCCCATGGTGGCCTTGCGGCCACCCCACAACCGTATTATGTTGACTGCTCCTCAACAAATTCAGCTGAACGCACTTCAGACAGGTAAGAGCTAAGCATTCTCGGTCTGCCATCTCGTGTTCGCTGGTAAAACTGCGCCTGGAAATCGTGTCAGGTGCAAGTAACCAGGAGCGGGAGTTGAGTTCAGAGCACTAGGAAGTTTATTACACCTCTACCTATACACAAGAATCTGCTCTTCTAATGGTCAGGCCAAATTGGTGCTAGATAAGGGTCAACATAATTCATGGGGGGTGGGGGTGGGGTGGGGAGGCTGGACCTGGGTCTCTCGTGGGAATATAATGACTCCAAACTTATGATGCATTTAACTCTGCCCTTGGGCTTAGCCTGCTCATCTTCTGCAATAAGCCCCTAGTAGGATTGATTTTTTTTTTTTTGGCCTGGAATAAATCAAAGTATGCTGCTGAGAGAGATGGTCTGTGCTGTCAATGAACAGACTGCATTATCTGCTATTTACTGAGTAGGTCATATTCTGAATTGTGTGTTTTAATCTCCTCTCCTCTCCTCTCCACCTCTCCCTTCCCTTCCTTTCCCTTCCCTTCCCTTCCCTTCCCTTCCCTTCCCTTCCCTTCCCTTCCTTTGAATAAACTTACAATTAGAATCATTGTAAGCTCCAATTATAGCTCTAATTTCATTATTCTATGTATTTGCCCCATCATCTTTTCTGTACAGAAATGACGATGGAGCAAATACAAAGAATAACGAACTCAGAGCTATAACATTGGAGCATCCCTTATGTAGATCTTGTGCGCAAAAGAGAGTAGTTTAAATTTCCCCTTTTCTTGATTCTTCCCCAAAGCAAGCTTGGATTTGTGAGCTACCTAAAATTATGAGTAATAAGCAAGTTTACACCTCTCACCTTTAATTTGCATAGATTTTTTCTGCAGTTTTTGGTGTGCTAATCTCGCCTACGGAGCACCCATGCTGGTTTCCTTTTCTTACAGTCCCCGTGGTAAAGCAAACAGTATTACCAGGAACCAAAGCTCTTTCTACTCTTTCAACCCAAGCTGCAATTGCTCAGAAAAATAAACTGAAAGAACCCGGGGGAGGTTCTTTTCGGTAAGTGATCTTATTCGTTCTTGAAGAAAAATCGTGCCACCTATTCCTTTTTTCCTGACTTATTTTGCAAAAGAGAGTTTGTAACTCTAGGAAGTAAATTCTGGACTCTTTGAAGACTTCTCACAAAAAGATAAGGTTACTTTGCTTATGTTCGGCTCCATCCTTCAACATTTAATTCAACATTCAACTTCTCTTCCTCCGATGGTGTGGAATTGGGGCTATTGTCAACCAAATAGAACAACGTAGAACCAAGGACAAATTTTCCTGACACTTTGAACAATTAATCAATGGAACAACATGCCTCCAGAAGTTGTGGGGTGCTCCATCACTGGAGATTTTTTTAAAGAAGAAATTGGACAGCCATTTGTCTGAAATAGAATAGGCGCTCCTACTTGAGCAGGCGGTTGAAGATCTCCAAAGTCCCTTACGACTGTGTTATTCTGTTTTTCCAAGATAAACTGGCTATGTTGATTGGTAATGATGGAAATTGTAGTCCAATGTACTTGGAAAGTGCCAGGTTGGAGAAAGCTGGGTTAATTCATGCTATCTGTGATTATACATAAGGGTTTGGAGATTTACACAAAAGGATGCCAAGTCCTCAATTCCCACTTCTGTGAGACATTAAGGGATGCATTAAGGAGTTTGGAGGGAGAAGAGCAATATATGTGGGCATGAGTATGTTTACTAAAAAAAAAATGGGACAGGAAGGGGTTTTTGGTGACATTGCCTAAATGCTGTTCCTGATTTTAAAAATAATTTTAAAATTGAATAACTTGGGGAAGGAGAATAGGAAAAAGTCATATATCAAGTGGTCTTTTTTTTACATGCTTTTAGTAAGGGTTCTCCAAGCGGAGGGATATCAGTATTGATATACTGTTCAGTATTTGTAATGAATCTGAGCTACTGTTATCTGAAATCTTGTCTCTCTTATTTTTAACTCGTTTATTCATTTTTGTATAACTATGTCAAAAGCTGGGAAACTTTTCCCACCTCTGGCCACCGGAAATAGGAAATTGCTTTCTCTCTTGTCTTCCCTTCCACTCAGAAGGACCTGCCTCGTTGCTTTCACTTGAAATTAAATTTACATATTTTGGCTGCAGGGTGGTCTACCTGAGTATATTTGATGGTTTTTACCAGTGGGAAGGGAAAGGAAGAGGAAAGACTAATTAATGCAGTGGTTAGAATGCAGTGTTGCAGGCTAACTCTGCATTTCACTGCCAGGAATTCGATCCTGACCGGCTCAAGGTTGACTCAGCCTTCCAGCCTTCCAAGGTCAGTAAAATGAGGACCCAGATTGTTGGGGGGGGGGACAATATGCTGACTTTGTAAACTGCTTAGAGCAGTTTTTCTCAACCTTGGCAAGTTTAAGATCGGTGGACTTCTGGGAGTTGAAGTCCACCCATCTTAAGCTTGTCAAGGTTGAGAAACACTGGCTTAGAGAGTGCTGTAAAGCACTATGAAGCGATATATAAGTCTTAAATGCTACTGCTGTCGCCAATTAACGAGAAAGCAAACCAGATAGTTTCTCTTTAAGTTTTAGCTTTCAGGTTAGGAAATAGCACCCCTTGCTGGCCATTGAATAGTTTAGTGAGCTGAATCCCCTTGGATTCCCCCACAGCTCACCATTTCACACACGGGAGACCCTTTAAGAAGTGTCCTTCCAGCCAGATGAGAGATCCTGTGAATTCTATACCAGGTCTACTGTTCACTTTGTGTCCTTAGTTTACTCTCGCCAAACCGTTTCTAAATTCTTGGCACGATGATAACATTCTTTTTCTTATAGGTGTTAATAAGACGTTTTCTTTTTTTTTTTCTGAAGGGACGACGATGATATTAACGACGTTGCCTCTATGGCAGGAGTCAACCTATCGGAAGAGAGCGCACGTATATTGGCCACTAATTCTGAGTTGGTGGGCACTTTAACAAGGTCGTGTAAAGATGAAACTTTTCTTCTCCCAACACCCTTGCAAAGAAGAATATTAGAAATAGGTGGGTGTGATTTAATAGATTATAGCAATCTGTGCTTTTAATAGGAAATGTATTTAGCACTTTATAATTTATTGGCTTGGAGGGCTGTTCCACATATTACCCCTAAACCAGGGGTAGGCAACCTTGGCTCTTTTACGACTCGTGGACTTCAACTCCCAGAATTCCTGAGCCAGCCATACTGAGGGGAAAGGGAGAGGTTTCCAAGCTGAGCCGTGCTGGCTCAGGAATTCTGGGAGTTGAAGTCCACGAGTCGTAAAAGAGCCAAGGTTGCCTACCCCTGCCCTAAACAAACATGAACTTGACACCAGGCTTCCTTGATAAGAAGCTGAAGTCAGTCTTTATTGTCTGGTGAGTATAACTCACGGCTCCAGACATTAAAATCTCTTTAACTGGTTGTTTTTCATTTGAACCAGCACTTTGAAAAGTTATGATGCCAGAAATTACTCAAAAAACAAAACAAAACAAAACAGGCTGAATTAACAACAGGCCCGATGAAGTGGCCATTTCCTTCATTGGATAATAATTCTGTAGCTCATGATAATTATAAAGCACCATGTCATCAAACAGATGACTCGTTTTGAAGTTGTAAGTATTTCTACCAACATGTGGACCCTCAGCTGACTGAGGAATTCTGGGAGTTGACGTCCACAAGTCTTAAAGTTACCAAGGTTGGAGACCCCTGTTCTAGAACTCTACCCTAGTTATGATTGCATGTCATAATGCTTTGGGAAACAACTGTGAACATTATGTGAACAGCGGTGAATGCTCCAACACTGGACGTTTTTAAGAAGAGACTGGACAGCCATTTGTCTGAAATGGTATAGGGTTTCCTGCCTGAGCAGGGGGTTGGACTAGATGACCTTCAAGGTCCCTTCCAACTTTACTACTACTACTACTACTACTACTACTATTATTATTATTATTATTATTATTATTATTATTATTATTATTATTATTATTATTATTATTTGTTGATTTATTAATTGAGAACATTTACGTGGTTGCCCAGCTCACTCATGGTGACTCTGGATTGCTTACAGCAGGGGTCTTCAAAAATAAAACCCCAATACAAAACACAATATACCCCGACACCTCTCGCAACAACAGTCATAGCAACCACTTGATGGGCTCCATATCACCCTGGGGTCCCCAGGCCCATAGGCAAAACCATATCTCCAGGGCCTTTTGAAAGAGTATCAAACTGGGGGGGGGGGCAATCTTACTTACACAGGGATGATGTTCCATAGGCAGGGAGCCAACATAGGTGTGGGTAGCAGAAGGGACCAAAGAATGGGATTTACTGTGGTGTGAATGAGATTGGAATAGGCTTTCCCATGAGTGCATGTATTTATTCAGCCATTTATTTATATTTTATATTTATATTTCACACTTCTTAACCACTCATCTCCCTCACAGAGGGGCTCTGGGCTGTGTATTTCATGTATTACAGTGAACAAAAGAAGCTTTCATATGTTACATATTCTCAGTGGTCACTGGGCATTCACAGATATGGGGTTTTGCACCTGCACAGGAAATTCTTCTGGTACACTTAGATGGTTGGAAGAAGCCTTCTTTTCACTTGCCATTGCATTGGTGTAGATGATAGATAGATGATAGATAGATAGATAGATAGATAGATAGATAGATAGATAGATAGATAGATAGATAGATAGATAGATAGATAGATAGATGATGGATGGATGGATGGATGGATGGATGGATGGATGGATGGATGGATGGATATGAAGGTTTGTTCTCTGAGCTTGTGAGTTGGTTTCTGAACGTTTCATCACCAGGCTAGGTAACATCTTCAGCGGTATTAGATAGATTACATAGACAGACAGACAGATTGAGAGATGGAGAGATGGAGAGATGGAGAGATGGAGATAGATACAGTAGATAGATAGATAGATAGATAGATAGATAGATAGATAGATAGATAGATAGATAGATAGATAGATAACCTTTATTGTCATTTTTACTGTGGGCACAATGGCACACATTAAAAAATGAAATTTAGTTGCTTGCTCTCAAAGTTTACACATATATAACATACATTTAAACATACTATATAACATATGTATAGACCTACACCCTTACATATAAGTAACATATAAATATTAATCACTGCCCATCTTGAATACCTAATGGAAGGTGGAAGCTTTAAAGTTCACAAGGTTAATACTGTAAATAATACTGTATTATTTATACTGTCAATACTGTACAACTGCAGCTTTAATTTCCTCCATAGTTCTTCTATCAATCATTCCAGATACAATATTCCCATTAAAGGCAGCGTATTTTGGGAGTTGCACCACACCTGTTCGTCTGCCACTCATGGAAAGAAAAATCAGTTCGTGCAGCTGCTGATAAAGAAGTTAGCTCTAATTCATCAATGTGGGCTTATGTAACATTACCATTTTTTTTCTTGGAAACTCAGGTAAAAAGCATGGAATAACAGAAATCCATCCTGACGTAGTTAGTTATGTATCACATGCGACGCAACAAAGGTTACAAAACCTGGTAGAGAAGGTATCAGAGACTGCCCAGCAAAGGAATATTTCTTACAAGGTAAGTGACGTATTCTTTATTGGGAAGGTATTGGCAGTGCCTTAAAAACAACAACAAAAACGCTCTGAGTAATGGCCCTAAACGCAATCTGGGCCTCAAAGCAATTAGATTCTGTTTTAGGCACAGTTATTGCCGGTAAATGTCCTTAATATCTAATATATCTCAAACTAACTTGACTGCCAATTTTAAAAATTAGCTTGAACCATAAGAATGATTTTATTTTAATCAATAGGTCAGGAATTTTCCTGCATGTAAAATGTGTGCATCAATTTCACATGCAACCAGGGAATTGCTTCCTTGGATCGTTGAAATCGGTTATCAAGTTAAATCTTTCACATAGCTCTGGCCACTTGTGTACTGTTGCATACTGCCTGCACACCCTCGTGACCTGTACTGCTCCTCTCTTAGCTTTTCCATGCAAGATGCCGTTAAGGTTTTGGGAATGGCTTCTTGCAAGGCATTAACTTCTAACAGAATTCTGTCTTCAAAGTGTTTTAAGTTAGGGGTCCTATCCATGGAAAAGGTTCTTTGCAAGATTTACAAGAACAAGATGATCTTTAGCCCAGATCTGCCCCTTGTCCCGATAGTGAACTCCAGAGTCTGCAAGGTCCATGAACTAATAATAACTTCTGTGTGCTCTACTTTCTCCTAGAGAGGTGGAGCGGCAGATGCTTGCTGGACCTTAAAACTCAAACCTGTAGAATGGGGCCATTCAGACAGGACTGTTCACTATTTGTATTCTTGAAAACCACTCTCTAGGCAAGAAAGTGTCTACTGTCTTGTCAGGTCAAGGAATACACAACTTTGGCATGTTTGTCCCACAGTCTGGAAGCCATCCAACAGCTGCATTGGGTACTTTAGGAAAATGGTTTCTCTGGGGAAAAAAAATGTAGAGCAAGAACTAGTTCTCTGTTTATACTTTAACTCATCAGTATAAAGTCAATACTTTCACTTAAACCGAGAGGTGCTTCAAAAAGTGAATCCTCTAGAACAGTGGTGGCGAACCTATGGCACGGGTGCCAGAGGTGGCACTCAGAGCCCTCTCTGTGGGCACACGTGCCATTGCCCCAGTCTTGCCTCCCCCTGCGACCCTCTCCTCTCCAGCAGCCCCCCTGAAGGAGAGTCGCCCTCGAGCGTGGCCCACGCGGAGCAGCGCAGCCAAGGACATGGCAGCCAGGCAGCGTAGACAAGACTCTGCCCTCACGCCCCATCGCGCAAAGTTGATGCTTTGGGGCGCGGACAGAGGGCGTGGCCGCCATGGTGCTGCTGGGCTGCCTGGGCGATCTGTGGTGGGCCCTGGAGGCGGCCCTGCAGGCAGACGGGGTGGGGGCGGGGCAGGGGGTGGATCGGGGGGCAGGACCAGTTTTTGGGCACTCGGTCTCTAAAAGGCTCGCCATCACTGCTCTAGAAAATTCCTTAGCTCACACTTGATAGTGAGCTCACCCAGGATCTATTGCTCTTGCACATGTGTAGTTAGCTGGCCTCTTGCCATTTTTTAATTACTGTGAATTTCTGTATATTTTGAGCTGTAGTGGTCAGGCTCACCGATGTATCAAAGCTGTTCTCTTGGGGAAGGATTCATTTAAATACTCCACCGGGGGCAGTTGTATTAGTTGTTAATGTATAATTATGAGTTCCAGCTGAGGAATCTGATAGTCACACAATGACAGGGGATGGGTCTTCCAGTCCCAGCAGGTCACCATGGATAAGCATAATGGTTGAAAGCTTGTGCTGGTGTCCCAAGGACACCTTACCTCAGGAGTGTCAAACTGCCGACCTGCGGGCCGGATGCGTCATGGCGAAACTGCGTCCACCCCATTGCCGGCGAGGGAAAAAAAGTCGCGATACCTCGCGACACGTCACGTGACGTTGCGAGTTTGACACCCCTGCCTTACCTGGAAGACCTAGGAGTCTTATTATCTTGATCTTGAGCAGGGCATTCCCAGCTGATTGGACTCAACTTTGGAGAAGAATGGGAATTCACAGTCAACGAAGTACTTCCATTCTTTCCCAACAATGCAATTTGAAATACTGCTTTGTAATTTCTCTTGCCCATCTTTTATTTATTTATTTATTTTTTTGCAAATCACCTTGTTTTCAGGATGATGAAAGATATGAACAAGCAAGCGACGTTCGGGCACAACTCAAGTTCTTTGAACAACTTGATCAAATAGAAAAACAGCGGAAAGACGAACAAGAAAGGGAAATATTAATGCGGGCAGCAAAGGCAAGTGCTCTGGGGTGTTATGCTTAATAGATGAAACATATTTGTAATATTTGTCGTTGGAAGAGTAGAGGTCCATCCCTTGTACAGAATGTGAAAAAGAGTAAGGAAGCTTGGTTTGTTTCAAACTTGGTTACCGGCATGTTGCTGTTGAGGTACCGGCTGCCATTCCATGTCATAAAAGAGCTCTGTAAGGAGAACAAAAGGGTAGTTCTTGATTTAGCGTAAGATTGAAAAATCAAGCGTAATAACGTGATGACTTGCTTAATGACTGGCACCACTTTGAATTGTAATTCTGGCTCAATTACGGTCATAAGTTGGGGACTATGTGTACTGTTGGCTAGTGTCCTGCAGAGTCTGGAGGTTATTTCCAAATATTTTGAAAACTACTTTCGGCAGCATATCATGTTGGATAATGTCAATGGAAGGTTGTCCAACGCTAAGGAAGTCCCGCAATAAAGTTGGGCTGAGAGACTGATTGTCCCAAAATCACCTAAGCTGGCTTTTATAGCTAAGGCAGGATTGGAATTCACAGCCTCCCACTTTCTAGCCTGGTGCCTTAACCATTAGACCAAAGTGGCTCTCTCACTCTGGAGGATTTAAGTGTTTGTATATACTTTGACAGGAGTATGGAATTGTATTGTATTTCATATGTTGCCTCCTGTCTTATTTAAAGAGAAAAAAGGAAGACAAATACAAACAAGGTGCAGGTACATGTGGGCTGTTGGGACCCCATAAAACAGGGGTCTTCAAACTTGGCCCTTTTATGACTTGTGGACTTCAACTCCCAGAATTCCTTAGCCAGGCATGCTGGCTGAGGAATTCTGGGAGTTGAAGTCCACAAGTCATAAAAAGGCCAAGTTTGAAGACCCCTGCCATAAAATCTTGAAGCTGGTCCCATTCCATCTATATTTCATTTTTATTAAATTTCTACACTACCCACCTGCTATTTAAGTGACTCTGGGTGGTTAACAACAACATATTAAAACAATATAAGCACCTGAATGAAAGCACAGTTTAAAAAGAAATTTAAGAACAAGTTAAAATTAACAAGTAAAAATCAAA